TCCCCTATTGCCCGGGGACTCATGAGTTGTCAGTCCGCCCCTGGTCTGAAATAAACACCTCTATACAATGGTATTTAACTATTTTACTAACAATCACGTATCCCATACGTTCTGGCTTTAAAAGGGACAAAACAAGCAGCAGCATTAAGCGTGTTTTTATCGCTTTTAGCAGGTTTCAGATGTTTTAGTAAAATGGATATCAGCAGCTATAGTCCTATTTTTACAGGATTCAGTGTTTCGGGGGTTTTAAGTAATTTTCCAATCAAAAAATGCAGATTTGTGCAAAAAAGTTGCTCTGGAGGTGACAGGGTTAACTACCAAATGTGTTGATGTACACCATTGGTGGTCAACTTGATAACTAAATAGGCCCTCAAGTGTGGCCCCTGACATGTCCAAAGGGCCACACAATAGAATTTGTACTTAATTATACCAGTTCCTGCACGTAACATGTTTACATAATTTACACACACTCTGGTTAAATTGCATTGCAGTGCTATTTTGTTTACGTTTGCAAGTATTATGTGCTGCAGCACGTTGAGATGCATTGCAGCGTGTCAGAATGACTGCTGCCAACTCAGAATCGTGCAGCAGCATGACGTCAGTACTGTACAGGAGTGTAAATATTACACTATTTGAGGCATATGTGCTCTTTGTGAGCTTTATTTCATCACAGCTTGTCCAGACAGAGTGGTAGCTGTGGATACAGTCATTTGGCAGTTACATGCATTTATGGAACTTCTGTTTAGACACAGGGGTGTTCATTCTGTTGCAGTGGCAGCCACCAGTTTTGATGAGTTTTGAGTTCACAGGGAGACGGTGACATCAACGGCATTTTTGAATTACGTTACTGCAACCAAGAGCACTTTGTGGTGGTGGACTGATGCTTTCAGGGGTTTTTTTTTCCACTGAAAATTTGATTATATGGACGGTTATTTTATTTTTACTCGATTCTTGAACTTTGTTTTTTTTTATATGTCTTTATTAGACACACAATTTTGTATGATCGGCGCTGCACTTTTATTTTTGTACACATTTACTTAGGTTTGGTATATTACCTATTGGTGTCAGCTGCCTTATATTTCCAGATATAGTGCAGATATTGTTTGCTTTATTTTAGTTATCTTATGTTGTCAACCAATTGCTGCTGCTAACTTTCTTGTTTGATTTAGCAACAGGCTCACTTTAGCTTAAGAAGGTGAGGTGAGAAAAATCAATCAAAAAACCTCTTTTTGCAGAAACCGAACAAAACCATAGTCTTACTCGCTATCTAAAGATGCAATCTCCCTAATTTAAAGTGTTACTAAACCCACAACAGGAAAATCAGTCTGTATATGCAGTAAAGCATGCTTGTTATACTCACTGTGGAACCTAAGGGGTTAATCCTCTATATTGTGTAAAAAGGCTGTTTGACCTTGTCTGCTCTGATCCGCCCCTCCTTCCACAGTCCCCAATACATCTTCTGATAGTACAGGGCCCTAGGAGGTGCTCTGCACATGCTCCGTTTGGTGTGTATTGCTAGAAAGGTTTTTTTTTGGGGGGGTGCATGTGATTGGCACAGGGCCAATCAGCACTGCCCAGACAGAGGTTCAGGGGTCATGCAGCCTCATAGGACAGTCAGAGGAGAATGAAAACTCCTCCTACAAGCTTTAACCAGTGCTTAGCTGGACACTGATAGAAGTCACAAGGCTGCTATATACTACTGACAAGAAAAGGTATTTAGCAGTTTATATTTACTAAAATAATTGCATTTCCATGTTCTTTGTACTGTGGAAGACCAGATATAGTGAATGCAGGGTCCTGGGTTTAGTAACACTTTAACATAATATAAAGGGAATCTGTTAGCAAGCAAAAAGCACTTGGGCATTCAGGTTTTGTTTTGGTTAGCATAGCTCAAAAGTGTTTTTGATACAGGTTCTGTTTGGATACACCAAAAGCAATGAATAGCTATAGACATTTTGAGCTCATATACTGTAGGTAAAGAAACTACATAGATATTTATAAAAAAGCAGAAAGTTTATTTTACATTAAGTTTAAAATCACATATAACACATATCTGTTTTAGGGGTTCACACATTGTTTCATCCAAGTAATCCCCATGTGAACTCAATGCGTTTCGAATCATCTGCTTTAGGATAACATGTGAATGATATCAATACAATGGAACCTTTGGGCGGCACAGTGGCTTAGTGGTTAGCACGTCTGTCTTGCAGTAAATGGGTTTTGGGTTCGATTCCTGCATGGAGTTTGCATGTTCTCTCCTGTGCTTGCGTGGGTTTCCTCCCACACTCCAAAGACATGCTGGTAGGTTAATTGGATCCTGTCTAAATTGGCCCTAATATGTGTATGTATGAATGTGAGCTAGGGACCTTAGATTGTACACCCCTTGAGGGTTAGGGACTGATGTGAATGTTCAATATATATATATGTAAAGCACTGTGTAAATTGACAGCGCTATATAAGTACCTGAAATAAATAAATAACCTAATTTCTAAAATCAATACAAGCGATACAAGGTCTGCTGGGACAAACTCAGTGTGAAGCTTTTTTTTTTTCCAAAAACAAGGGAGACAGAGGATGATACAAAATTGTAGAACATAGAAATTGGGTTCCAGTGTATAGATTATCATTCACATGTGCTCCTGAAGAAGATCATTTGAAACACGTTGAGTTCACTGATGGATTGCTTGGATGAAACAATGTGTGAACCCTTATAATGGATATGTGTTATATGTGATTTTAAAGCTTAATATAAAATAAACTTTATGCTTTTATACAAATATCTATGTAGATTCTTTACCTATATGAACTCAAAAAGTCCATAGCTACACATTGCTTTTTTGTTGTATTGGTTAGAATAGCAAATACCTAAAACCCATGTTTTGACTGTTGATGACAGTAGTCCTGTTAAAAAAAAATCCCTCACTTTATGTTATGGTAAAAACATTCTCACCTAGTCAGGAACAAGGGCAGATCTCCCTAACATGACAGAGTAGCAAAAAAAAAAAAAACTACTAGTAGGGTGAAGCAAAGTTAAAACCTCCAATAAAGTAGGCAGGTCTCCTGTTATAAAACAAAGGACAGGTAGCCTGTAAAAAAAGAGATTCAACACATACCTTTCCACTGGGTGGTGAGTAAAACCTTTGCCCTCGTGAATAGTGTGTGTTGGATAGTGTAACCCCATGCTCTTTGGCTCTTCCCACTGGCCACTACTGTGTCCCATAGTGATGTACTGACCAGTGGGAGGGAGCACAGTGCTAAGTGGATGACCAGTTATCTGACACTCCCAGAAGTGTCAAATACCATGGGCAGCTGAAGCTCCTAAAAAGATCAAAGATTTTAAGTATTAAACTTTTTTTTTTTCTTAAAGATTGCCTGTCTTTCAATGTTAATGTTTTCTTACTGTCTGTATGTCCATTAGAGATTTCCTTTCATTTCCTGTTACAGCAACAACATTGTCAGGAGATAGGTACTGGAGAGAAAGTTCTCTAAAATGATACAGCCAGTAACTAAATAAATCAAATAAAAAGCTAACTGGGGTTTTAACTGCTTTCTATCCTATCCAAAGTATCCTATCCAAAGTTAAAAAAAAGTATTGCTAGAGACACCTTTTAATCTCTCAGTGTCTGGATTAAAGTTACAGTGTAATATAAAATATATCATCTGGAATATTGAATTTTTGTGGCCAGGCTTTCCATTTCTGAACATCAAACCCACTAATTTTCTGGCAATAGAAAATTGCTGTATCTGGTTCTACATGTCACAGATTTGCGTTATCAGCTTACTTCCATAGTTTGCAGTCAAAATTACATTTTCTGCAAAGCCAAAAGTATACATAACCTTGTATTTTTTAACACATTTTTCCATCAGCTTTTCTTCCAATTGAAGTAGCAATTAACTACTATGTAAAAACTGGGTGAAAAAAAATTAAATCAGGTTATGCCCTCCTTTCACAAATTACTGGCAGCCATTCGATAATAATTTATGAACCGGGCAGTGTCAGTTCTGTTACTCTCAAATTGCATTTTATGTTGTACTCAGACCAAGGACCTGTGTCGATGGACTTTGGCATTGTGTTGATGGCATCAGGTTGACGTCAGGTTGACGTCAGTTTGACAGCGTTCTGAAATCATTCAGAATTACTGACAGGTGCCTCTGACCAACAGTTGACGTCCTCCTCACTTGCGCTGACCTTTTTCAAGACTTGTATGGGAATACAAACCAACTTGAAAATAACAAAAGCCCAATAACACAGGCCCCACTGAATTCAAGTGACTGGAAACATACAACTTTTTTTTTTTTTATTTCTGGATGGAGTATGGAATGGTTAGTTCCATTGTCATGTCCCTGCTAGGGAGATTCATCGAAACAGAAAGTAGTGGTAAATCCAGAATTTTAGCGTTCCTATCAAATCAAAAAATCTTCCAATGGGAGATTTTTTTTTATGTTGGTCGAACCGGATGGATTAGTGTCTTTTTTCATCTAGATTAACTATGTAACACCTGTTCTGGTAACAACTAAATAAGAAGAGAATTACCATCTCTTCAGGAGGTTTCCTCTTACTTCTTGTTGCATGTCTGGGGCAGGAAGTGAAAAGAAATCTCACCAGTGATACACAGACAGCAAAGAATAATCTGAAAGGTTTTAAGCTTTCCTTACTCAATCCAAAACTAAAAACGTTTTGCTTATACATACAATTTAAAGAATTGAATGATACATTGTGATTTGCTTTGAATTCGATTGTACTGTTAGTTATACCACATTTCATACAAATGGACTGTGTAAGGTTCTCAACTTATATTTTTATGTTACTAATTAAAATCTGGTAATCATATCTAAGGGAATAATTTTTTGACACTTTTCCTGCTGCCTCTCATTGGTTTTGACTTTGAATAAAGCAATAGATGAATTTATGGATTTGTGCAAAAGAAAGCAATCTAGTAGATGTGTTCACAAACAATTGAAGAAGAGGGAACAATTCCTCTTGTGTTCTTTCAATGCAGTTCCCAGCAGGAAGATCAGGATAGGAGGCTCCCGCCTGCTCCAGATAAAAGGAACCCGCAGTTTCCGGGTGAAGAAAGGGGGCTCCCTGTCCAGCATTCGCCGGGCCGGCAGCCTAAAGAGCACCAAACTTACACGGCAGGACTCAGGGTCCGAGAATGAGGACATCCAGCTGTCACAGAGCAGGGACACTGTAACTGACATAGGTAATGCAGTGAAAAGTTTTCTAAGGGGAGGTATGATAGAGAGGACAACAGTTTTTTGAAAACAGAAAAGATGGAGGTAAAGAATGTATCTGTTGCTCCCATTGTTTACATTATAATACTCAGTTACATTTCTTTCTTCCACTTCCAAAAAAAACAGCCTCAGAGATATAAAAAAGATCCATTAAAATGAAACAAACTTAAAATTTCCACCCACGGTAAGAGTTTCATAAATGTTCCCTGAATGATCATGGTAGAAGAAACTGCTGCAACTTTCCCATTTGGTACAATTGTATCAAAACCAAGGTATAATACATAATCTGGCATATAAACTAGATGTTTAAGAACCACTATGTGAGATTGCACCCGACAAATAATAGTTATATTTACCTCCATTATAAGTAATGTTATTCAACATGTTTTCTATATTAGTCCGTGCAACAAACCAAAAGATAACCTCAAATAAATATTTTGTTATTGGACGCACATTCAACATATATACCCATAGCAACATAAAACAATATATAGGCAATAGTGTATTTTCATTAGAGCAGAGTATTTTTTATAGTGCTATAATACTTAACAAAGTATTCTTGGCAACAATGTTCTTTGCAGACTAATTGTGTGGTCTGCAGCATCTCCAAGATGCAGGGAATTCGTTCTCCACTTTTTGTCCCATCCCTTTGAAAAAAGGGGACATGTGCCAATAGATGTGCTTGTCTTCACCAACCCAGCTAGTGGTTAGAGGGGGAGGGAGTTGGGTAGATGTGTTGTGTTGCTTTTTTGTGAAATCATCTGTGCATGGCTGAGCTGATTCATCTGTACCCCAGTGATATTTTTGGGTTTTATATACTTATGGCATATTTAATGTTTGTTTCTGAGAAGAAGGGAGCCCATGGAGCACTAGTGAACCCAGTATTGAACCAGATGGGGGCAACATTGGCACTGAAGAAAGCTATCACCGTAACATGTCTTGGTTGCACGTAAGTAGTGAAAAGTAAAGTACAGGTCTAAAAAAAAAAAAATACATGGTGTATAAGAATACTGGACCATACACAACATTGAGTACCATGCTGAACTAACAACACTGGCAGGCTGAAAATATTTTAAAACTGAACTCCATGCAGATATAAAAGACAAATGAATGCAGCTTTGTATTGCATAGTACATAATTAATTGTATTTTTATTGCATGCAGTGTATATACCTGGATTTTATTTGGTATCAGCCCTTTTCAATCTCTGTACAGCAATACATATCTTTGGCAGGAAAACCAGCTCCCATATACTATATTTACTTTATCCATGTAATTGCTGCTGAATTTGCATTCTTTCTATTTACAGTCAGTTCCATAAATATTGGGACATTGACACAATTCTAAGATTTTTGGCTCTATACAAGACCACAATGGATTTGAAATGAAACAAACAAGATGTGCTTTAACTGCAGACTGTCAGCTTTAATTTGAGGGTATTTACATCCAAATCAGGTGAACGGTGTAGGAATTACAACAGTTTGCATATGTGCCTCCCACTTGTTAATTGACCAAAAGTAATGGGACAATTGGCATCTCAGCTGTTCCATGGCCAGGTGTGTGTTATTCCCTCATTATCCCAATTACAATGAGCAGATAAAAGGTCCAGAGTTCATTTCAAGTGTGCTATTTGCATTTGGAATCTGTTGCTGTCAACTCTCAAGATGAGATCCAAAGAGCTGTCACTATCAGTGAAGCAAGCCATGATTAGGCTGAAAAAACAAAACAAACCCATCAGAGAGATAGCAAAAACATTAGGCGTGGCCAAAACAACTGTTTGGAACATTTTTAAAAAGAAGGAACGCACTGGTGAGCTCAGCAACACCAAAAGACCCGGAAGACCACGGAAAACAACTGTGGTGGATGACTGAAGAATTCTTTCCCTGGTGAAGAAAACACCCTTCACAACAGTTGGCCAGATCAAGAACACTCTCCAGGAGGTAGGTGTATGTGTGTCAAAGTCAACAATCAAGAGAAGACTTCACCAGAGTGAATACAGACGGTTCACCACAAGATGGAAACCATTGGTGAGCCTCAAAAACAGGAAGGCCAGATTAGAGTTTGCCAAATGACATCTAAAAAAACCTTCACAGTTCTGGAACAACATCCTATGGACAGATGAGACCAAGATCAACTTGTACCAGAGTGATGGGAAGAGAAGAGTATGGAGAAGGAAAGGAACTGCTCATGATCCTTAGCATACCACCTCATCAGTGAAGCATGGTGGTGGTAGTGTCATGGCGTGGGCATGTATGTCTGCCAATGGAACCGGTTCTCTTGTATTTATTGATGATGTGACTGCTGACAAAAGCAGCAGGATGAATTCTGAAGTGTTTCGGTCAATATTATCTGCTCATATTCAGCCAAATGCTTCAGAACTCATTGGACGCCGCTTCACAGTGCAGATGGACAATGACCCAAAGCATACTGCAAAAGCAACCAAAGAGTTTTTTAAGGGAAAGAAGTGGAATGTTATGCAATGGCCAAGTCAATCACCTGACCTGAATCCGATTGAGCATGCATTTCACTTGCTGAAGACAAAACTGAAGGGAAAATGCCCCAAGAACAAGCAGGAACTGAAGACAGTTGCAACAGAGGCCTGGCAGAGCATCACCAGGGATGAAACCCAGCGTCTGGTGATGTCTATGCATTCCAGACTTCAGGCTGTAATTGACTGCAAAGGATTTGCAACCAAGTATTAAAAAGTGAAAGTTTGATTTATGATTATTATTCTGTCCCATTACTTTTGGTCCCTTAACAAGTGGGAGGCGCATATGCAAACTGTTGTAATTCCTACACCGTTCACCTGATTTGGATGTAAATACCCTCAAATAAAGCTGACAGTCTGCAGTTAAAGCACATCTTGTTCGTTTCATTTCAAATCCATTGTGGTGGTGTATAGAGCCAAAAATGTTAGAATTGTGTTGATGTCCCAATATTTATGGACCTGACTGTATCTATGCAGTGATGTGATCATGTCATCACATCCACCAAAGAGGCTTTGTTGGCCATAGAGAGTGAGTAAGTCAGGGCCAGAAGAGCAGTGACTGTCCACCTTCCTGAAGGGTAGGAGCCCTAGCATGGCCAACAAAAATAAGTGAAGTTATGTAGAAGCAACTTTTTTTTAAAAAAGTAAGGATTACAGTGCCTTGAAAAAGTATTCATACCCCTTGAAATTTTTCAAATTTTGTCATGTTACCACCAAAAATGTAAATGTATTTTATTGGGATTTTATGTGATAGACCAACACAAACTGGAACATAATTGTGAAGTGGAAGAAAAATGATAAATGTTTTTCAAATTTTTTTACAAATAAATATCTGAAAAGTGTGGCGTGCATTTGTATTCAGCCCCCGAGTCAATACTTTGTAGAACAACCTTTTCGCTGCAATTACAGCTGCAAGTCTGTAAACTTGTAAGTAGTTGTGCCAAGTCTGGCTGTAGAGGATTAAAGTGGTTGTAAACCCTTACATATTGCAAACTTTGTACTTGTTTATCTGCAGTCATCTCTTCTCTATAATTTCTAAAGCACACATTTTACACAGCATCTCAGAGTTCTAGCAGGCAGGGGGAAAGGATCTAACCTCACACATTGCAGAGCACATAGCTGGGAGCTAAGTGTAACCTGAGACCTGAGTGGAGAGAACGTGCACATCCCCTTCAAACGAAGTCATAGACAAATATGCACATCTGAGGCTGTCATTCAAAGGCTGTTTGCTGGAGCTTCCCTCCCCCATCCTCCTCCATCTCTTGGAGTTGGCATTAGCTATCAGAAATGACTCATGCAGATAGTAGAGCAGGCAGGCAGCAGACAGATATCACACTAAGTGCAGCAAGTACACACTATAGATGAATATGCTTTGCTCATTTTTCTTGTCAGAGGTTTACAACTATTTTAAAGAGAACATGAAACTAAGGTTTACTGAGTTTTACTGCCTTCTTTACAGTGTTAGTAGCTCACTGATTGTTTTTTTTTTTGCCTCAAACTGACTGTACTTACCGTACTAAAGGGAAATACAATGATTTGGATCAGTCCTACTTTTTTAAGTTTATATGTTTTTAAAATGATGTTTTGTATGTAGGACTCTCCCTTTTAGGGGCATGGAATGGCTTCCTAAAGTGTTTTACACAGCTTTACAGTCAGGATCCACTCAGATGCCTGGACTGACAGCTGGCTCAGGCTCTCAGCGAGCTGCTGAGAGCCTGAGCCAGCTGCTCCTGCCCCCTCTACATTCCGACACTCCAGTGAGCACCGGAGGGGCAGAGCAGGAAGCTGGTGACAGTCACTGGCTCTCTGTTCACTGAAGACTGAGAACTGAGTCTTTTATTGCTCAGTTCTCAGTTTTAGAAGCATCAGGGGACAGAGGCAGCATGGGAACAATGCTGCATCCACCTAGGTGAGTATATTTTTTTTTTCTTTAAAGAACCCATACTTCTCTATTAACTCTGAGGGATGGATCTGTGGCTTATGACAGGGTAAAAGAAAAGTTGAGCTCCAGTCACTTTTGTCTTTTTTTGTAATTTTATTTTTGATTTCAACTACAGGAGAGAGCGTTAGAGATACTGGATACTGAAAAGGGATACCAGCAAACATGTCTCACATGGGTTGTGAGGTGAACCTCAATTTCCAACCTCAAATTTAGTGTAGCTTGTTTTTGCCTTCCTTAGGTTTCTTGGTAGTCTGTTCCCTTTACTAGCAGGTAAATCAGATCTATGACTCTGTAATAGCAGTCACAGTCTTTTCTTAAATCATAATGGACCTTTCTATCTTTATGAACAATTTGTGCCCTTGACCCATTAATAGCAGCAAGGTACCATAATATGTGAGGAGCGATTCCTTACAGGGTCTAGTGGCAGTAACTTCTACTGTGGTCTCCCTAGGTACTCTTCAGTACGGAAGATTTCTTTGCAGATGGTCCATCTAGGCAGTCATCTTCTTGCTTAGGTCCCTATGAATAGTCCTTCCAGCATGGCAATTTAAATCCTGCAGAGCATTGCACACAGGCTCTAACTGGGTAGATACCATGAGGAAAGGATTACCCTTGAGGGTTGCCCCAAACATTTATCACCTTCCTTCAACCCCACCACTGGACAAACTACTCAGTGAGTGGCTGGGGTGTATAAATAATCATAACTCAGATATTGCTTCTTCCCACTCTGACCACTGGAAATACCTCAACAGTAGAAGAGAGAAGCAATCAATACATTGAAGGTATGAAAAATCTGCTGAGCACAGGAAAAGTAAAACATTGTTTAGAATGGCTACTAGCTGCTAAGCAAGCAAAGCTAGAAAAAGACTCCAGCTCATAGGGTTTTGTTTACCTATCTAGTAAATCTTGTCTAAGCACCCAAGTAGGTTAGACATTAAGGTACAGTATAGAGAAATTCAACTTTATTTTATTATCTGCCTGTAGGTCAACTGTGGCTTCTGCAAGGCCTGGCCATAAAAGTAGCATTCTAAGCGATTGTTGCCATCTTGCATGTAAGCTAGGACCGATGGTACATTGCTTATGCTCCCATGATCATGGGAACAAGTGTTGAGCTGCCAAATTGCTCATCCACTCGTTTGTAGTGCACTCTTTCATGCACAAATCCTCATGCACTCTCCTTCCATTGTTACAGCAGTACTGAGCTCAGTTGTGGGTTTTCTTAAGAGTGGGCACAGCAGCAGCTGTTTGCCCTCAGACTTTCACTCTCTAGTAAAAATTTTGGAGGAAGCCCCCTGAGTACATAAAAAGAGCTCTGACTCTTTCAAGTGTGTGTTCACATTTTCAGGTTTACGCTGTGCAAAAGATCACATCAGAATAGACAGAGAAAACATGAAAAAGAGGCTAGCCCTCCACAATGAAAACACAATAATATGCAATATTTTTAATTGCCTGATAAACAAAACATATTTTGTAAAACTTGTATTCAAGTGTTTGTGTTTTAATTATGTATTCTTTATACTTATTAGGTTATGATCCTT